AGTGAGATCCTGTCTCTAAATAAAATACAAATTAGGGATGGGGATGTGGCTTAGTGGTTAGGTGCCCCTGAGTTCAATCCCCAGTACCCCAAAAAGTGAAATTAAATTAAAAAATAAGAAAAATAAAATGAGATCCTATTGATGGGATCATATTTGAGATTTATTCTAGATGAGAGTTTAGCACACTTACAAGGGTCAGATAATAAATATTTCTGAGCATGTGGACTCTATTGCAAAACCCTACCATTGTAGTATGAAAGCAGGCATAAATAATATATGAAAGGATTAAAATTTTAAAAAAGAAAAAAAAACTATAAAAACAGGCAGAGGACAGGATAATGGCACATGTGGTATAATTTGCCAACCCTTGTTCCCAGGTGTCTCTCTGGTCTTTTTCTTCAAGCTTTTAATTTGAACTAAAGATATAGAGAACATGACCTTTTGTGTTCTATGAATCAAAATGCATTCTACTGTCATGTATAAAAAAATCAGAATAAATAAAAAATTTTTAAAAAGATATAGAGGGGCTGGGACTGTGGTTCAGCAGTAGCACGTGTGAGGCACTAGGTTTGATTCTCAGAACCACATATAAGTAAATAAAATAAAGGTCTATCAACAACTAAAAAAATATTTAAAAAAGATATAGAGGACATGAAAAGTAGGTGGAAAATAATAATATTACTTGGGTTGGATTATAGGGTAGGAATCAGCATGTGGGTGATTGCTGGCTAAAATCTGTTTATTGCTTTCAGAGTAACTAATAATATTTTTACTCTTTCTAGATTTGATGTGGCTAGCATGATGTCTGTTACACTGAGTTGTGATCATCGAGTTGTGGATGGAGCAGTTGGAGCCCAGTGGCTTGCTGAGTTTAGAAAGTACCTTGAGAAACCTATCACCATGTTGTTATAATTAACCCAAGAATTTCTGTATTCTCCCTGGTCACATTGGTTCATTCTTATTGAGATATTTATGTTATTAAACAGGTGGTTGTTTTAAAGTTAACCAGTTAATTTTTGAGTCTATCTAGATAAATTATTTCTAATGGGCATTACTGAAATTTTTTTTTAAATGCCAGTTATACCCAAATATTTACACATTTGGTAACTAAACACCAGATTTTAATCTGTGTACTTTTAGTCATGGGACATGTGGCCTAGCCTGAGGATAAGTATTTCTATAGGAGATATAGAATAGGTAGAAACCTGGTTCCCTAGAGACAAGTAACCTGAGTAAAACCTTACAGTTTTAAAGAGAAGTCAGGAAAATTACTTCTCAAGAGAAAGATCTGAACTGAATCAAGCTTTATTTTAGAATTTTTAACACTGGTTCAAAATTTTCTATTATATGAACTTGGTTTTGGTTTATCATTCATGGGAAGGGTATAGAACTTCAGGGAAAATAGCTGAAACTTTAAGAGTCCACATTTTTTTACACCTCTTCACTGGTTGGTCTTTATTTTTCTATGAATCTCTAAATGAAATGATTTTCCCCCTCTTACGATATAAATATAAATCATTTCTTGGTATAAATGAGAATTTATGTGGGTATTTATTTAAACAACTTAAATGTGTAATTCTGAAAGTAGAATTCTATAGTTACTTCCAAATAAAAGAACATGCTTATAAAATTTTAATACAATTAAGAAGTTGTGGAAGGGCTGGGGATATAGCTCAGTTGGTAGAGTGCTTATCTCGTATGCACAAAGCCATGGGTATTCAATCCCCAACACCACCAAAAAAAGAAAAAAAAGAAGTTGTGGAGGTAGAATTTTCTAAGATTAACTGAGAGTTGATTGCAAGTGAACTTAGTTATCAGGATTTATTATTCAAATAACTGGAAAACTATGAAATAATTATGGAATATATACGGAATAAGTGTACATATGTAAAATATGGTTACTAAAGTTGGATGTGTGCCAAACTCCATTTATCAGCAAGTCCTGTCTGAAAAGAGAAGGGATACACTGGTGATTTGTTTAGAATGCTAAAAAATGAAGCCCAAGCCAGGCACCGTTGTTACCCTTGTTGTCCCAGCTACTCAGGAGGCTAGAGGATCTTTTTTTTTTTTGAAGAGAGAGAGAGAGAGAGAGAATTTTTTTAATATTTATTTTTCAATCTTTATGTATGCCAGGTGAACGCATTACTGCTTGAGCCACATCCCCAGTCCTTGTACCAATCTTTATGTATTTATTCACACATTTGATAAAAATGTCACAGTTAAAAGTGAAATCATTACAATGACATAAGTAACTCTACAAAGTCAAACTGCTTTTAAGTCAGAATATGGGGCAACCACAGCTGCTTAGCACCTGTGCCTACCCAAGCAGGCATGCTCTCCCTCACACACCCACTCACACTGGCAGGCACTAAGTTCTGAGGTTAATAACCCAGGGACTCTTCCCTGGCTCCACTAGAGGATCTTTTGAGCTCAGGAGTTTGGGACCAACCTGGACAATGTATTCAGTCCCTGTCTGAAAAAATAAATATAAATGATGTCCAAAACAAAATGATAATTTGTTTGGATAAAGTAAAAATGGTTAATATAGTCGTTTTTTTCCCTACCCTAGCATTGTCTCATGTAAAATAAGATAGCCCTGAAATCCTATTTGAGAGAAAAAATTAGTTATGGCTACCTTATCAGTCTAAATACTTTTTTCAACTTTATTATTTTGCCTTTCTCTTGGAGAGGAGGAGGATATGCTATCCAGAACAATAAAAATGAATTGGGAACTTTATCACAGTTCCAGACTTTCTATTGAATTGACACGTTTTAATAAATGTTTGGAATTATTTATTATAACTACTTAAAATAAACCTGACCAGTGCTTCCTTGTATATGTAATATGTGCAACTATCCCCTGAAATTTGCTTTAAGTATTTCAGTGTTGAATCTGTTTCTGAATGTTCATTTATTATATGGTGCATAAGTGATACTCTATATATTCCTCAAACATTCACCTTGCTATATTGTTATGAAAATAATTCAACATATTATTCTGATTTTTCACAGTATTTAGTAATTTCAGGTTGAAGATTATGCAAAAAGAACAAGTTTATCACAAGGGACCAAAATTAGTATGAGCCAAATTTGGTTCAAACAAGAAATTTCAAAGATAATTTATTCTTTGCTAATGCTTATGGCTCTGTTGTTCCCTTGAAAGAAAAATAAAAAGTTCCCATATAATAAAAAGTTGTTCTGAGTTAAAAATTAATCTCAGCTATAATCTAAATCTGGACTCAGTATATCTATCTTACCAGAACTAAAAGAAGAAAGCTAGAAAAGAAAAAGTCATGGATTTTGGTTTAAATTAGATTGTTTTAAAATTAAACTTTGTTTTCAATGTGTGTGGTCTAATTTTTCATCTTTTGGGAATTTTTAAAAAATGATTTAAGTTTCAGTGTCAGCTATATACTCATAAACTCTCAATACAGATAAATTGGTAAAGGTCTGAGTTTAGGAGGATAGCCAAGTCTTTAAGCTTAAGAAGTTACTGAAGCAGCCTGTGTTCAGACATGGTACTTAATATCAAAATGGAAAGAAAGTGAGATCTGGCTCTGTTTAATAATTTAGTCTCAATTCTGAGGTTTGTGAGTTAAAGTTATGGTATCCTGAAGCATATTCTATAAAAGGAGTAACTGTGTGAGAGACAATAGGAATATGTTGCAAAGGAAAGTCATTACCTATTAACGCATGAGTTGGAATATATGGGGAAATCATAATCACTACTGATAAGGGACCTAAAACTAAATTTGTAGAAAAACTTACTCTTTAAATTTCAAATTTTGAGAAGAAATGGAAGAAATCTTTTTTTCTTTTTATTTGTTCCTTTTAAGTTTTATGTGACAGTAGAATGTATTATGATATACATAACATGGAGTATGACTTCCCATTCTTGTAGTTGTATATGATATGGAATTATACTTGTTATGTATTCATTCATATACGAACATAGGAAAGTTATGTTGAATTCATTCTACTCTCTTTGCTATTCCCAACCTCCCTCCCTTCCCTTCATTTCCCTTTGTCTAATCCAGTGAACTTCTATTCTTCCCTTCCACCCCCTTATTGTGTGTTAGCATCTGTATATCAGAGAACATTTGGCTATTGTTTTTTTGGGGATTGGCTTAACATGGTAGACTCTTGTTCCATCCATTTATCAGCAAATGACATAATTTCATTCTAAAAGAAGTCTTAATAAAGGGGTTGAGGTTGTGGCTCAGTGGTAGAGTGTGAGGTGCTGGGTTTGATCCTCAGCATCACATAAAAACAAACAAATAAAATAAAGGTGTTATATCTTAATAAGATTCAAATTTAAGCCAGCACATATTTCATTATTAATGCCCTTTCTGGGAACATAGTGCTTTTTTGTAGGAAGGAGGAGGCAAAAGTATTTTTCTTAATATAAAATCCATTAAGATATGAGTGATATTTAAGAAACTATCAAGAATGTAAATTTAACATTGTATTATTAAATATATTAGCTGTTGATATGCATTTTATTAATGAGTACACAGATATAGTGATGCAACAAGCACGTGTGTACTGAGTGCAAAAGGAGAGATTCAGTCAGTTCCTTGTGGTTAGGAGGATTTCCTAGAAAATACATTTTGACTGTTTTTGTAGAAGAAAAGATATGGTGAAGGCATTCCAAATGTTTTGAGAAATAACAATTTAATAGGTTTGTTAATTTTAGGGCATGATATCACTGCTGAAACTTCAGAAGATAAATTTTTGTATTGCTAATAGAATTCAAATCCAGGCCAGGTTTAAGAAAATTATATTTGCTTAACATCACACAAATTATTTCTTTTATCTATACAACATTAGTTTCTAAAGTTAAAGGTTTTAAAATTTATAGACTTTGTAATAATTAAAGAAGCTGTTTTATCTAGAAAAGATGATTAAGGAATGTTCAAAATTTGATGTGCATATTGCTATATCAGATTGTATCTGACACCTTAGATTAATGGAAGTTGAAAATATATTACTTCAGGGCTGGGGGTGTAGCTCAGTTGGTAGAGTGCTTGCTTTGCACGCACAAGGTCCTGGGTTCAATCCCCAGCATCACCACCACATACACACACACACACACAAATGTACATTACTTCATTTCTGGGGAGAAAGGTACTTTTCCTAAAATCAACTTTTTCCCTCAAATTAGAGATGGATCTATTCTGCTTATGATGAGCAATAACATCATTACTATTACTGCATCACTGTATCCATTAACAGACAAGTCCATACCTGATATTAAAAGGTCTGATTGGATGGCTGTTTAACTGAAGTACACAAGTTCATAGATGCATAGATTTGGGTATTATATTTGGCCCTGTATCTTTATTGCTGGAGGAAACTTTACTAAAGCCTATCCTGGTTTTAGAAAACTTTGCACAGTCTGGTAGTTTTTCCTAATGTAAAACTTTGCTAGAGATTTTAAAAGAAATTTTTTCAAGCAGTAAGACAAGATTTCCTACATGCTATTTGGAAATAATGAGAATTTTCCCCCCAAATATTTAAGTTATTAAGGTCAACTCAATTATTTTTAAAATAAGTACCTCATGGATTCACTGTTTTTAATAGTTTGGCGTTGATGACAACTTTATTTGAGAAGAAAAAGTGAGTGAAAAATAGATAAAACAGCTGAAGGCAAAATGTCAATACATCAAAGTGACCTCTTAAAAATATGTAATTAATATTTAAACCACTACCTCTTTATCTATAATTTACATGACTTATAGCATTAAAAAATCCCAAACATAGTGCAGCTGTTTTATACCAGTGGCATCATGATCATTAATGTAGATTTCTCTTTGATAAATTTTGCAGTAGTCATTTCAATATTAACAGATTCTGGAAGATTCAGATGTAATCTGTACTTTTCAGAGACCTCGATCAGTAAATCATCCTAAGAATAATAAATTGAGAGATTATTAAAAGGTGAAAATAGAAATATTTCCTGGTTAAAGTTTATGCTGTGGATTTTGCTCCCAGTTATTCACTTCTATAAGAGGAGAATCACTTTATTGCCATGTGACTTATAATGAGCAATAAAATTTCTGATGTAAATTCCTGACATTTTGAGATTGTTATTGCTGCTCAGTATGTCAGATGTTAACTGATAGAGTACTAGAAGTAGGATATTGCCATACTAAATTATGTGGTATTGTTTTAAGAGTCAACCAGAAAACAGCAAGGAAACTTACTTGGACTTGAAAGATGTTTCACAGTGATAAAGCTCTTAGTGAATCTATCATGATCATTTGGAAGACAAATAATATACCTAATGAATTCGTGGATTTAGATGAAATGGGAAGTAGAATGTTAGCATCTTAGGTTCCTTAAAATATTTCTTTATTCCTTAGCTCCCTAGTTCATTGTTTTTCATGATCTGTTGGGAAGTATTTTGCTATGCAGTATCCACCTTGGCTACATCTTAAAAAGAATATTTTAAAATACGCCATTCTTTTTTTGGGGTCGGGGAGCTACCCAGGATTTCACTCAGAGGTACTTGACCACTGAGCCACATCCCCAGATCTATTTTGTATTTTATTTAGAGTCAGGGTCTCATTGATTTGCTTAGTGCCTTGCTTTTGCTGAGGCTGGCTTTGAATTTGCAATCCTCCTGCCTCAGCCTCCCAATCTCCTGGGATTACAGGCATGCACCACTGTGCCCTGCTAGAATATGCCATTCTTATGCTCTGTATTTCACAAGATATTACAGGAAAAATTAGTATAGAAAATAGTTGCGCAGTGTTTCAGTCAGCTTTTTTTGCTGCTGTGACTAAAGGATCTGACCAGAACAACTGTAAGGAGGAAAAGTTTATTTGAAGGCTCACGGTTTCAGAGGTCTTAGTCCATAGAAGGCTGGCTCCATTCCTCAAGGCTTGAGGTGAGGCTGAACATCATGGCAGGAGAGTATGATAGAGGGAAGCAGCTCACATCAGGAAGGGGAGAGAGAGACTCCACTCTCCAGATACAAAAAAATATACCCAAAGCCACGCCCCTAATGCCCACCTCCTCCAGCCACACCCTATCAGCCTTCAGTTACCACTCAGTTAATCCTTATCAGATGATTAATTCACTGATTGGGTTAAGACTCTCACAACCCAATCATTTCTCCTCTGAACTTGATTGCATTGTCTCACAAGTGAGCTTTGGGGGCATCCAAACCACAACACCCATGTTGCAAGTAGAATTGAAAGAGAATACATAGAATAGGAGCCCAAAATTTCTAATAATTGAAAACTGAAAAATTGAACATATTTTTGTTTTCAGCCAATAAAGGATAAAAATTGAGAAATTTTTATTAACAAAGCCTGATTTTGACAGTTTAGAGATAAGATTAAATCACAGATCTTTATGCCTGCTGTTAAAACCTCTTGAGTGGATTAAGGTAGACTTCAGTAAATCCTTTCATTTGGCTAAAATGACAGCAATTAAGTCTCAAAAGAGATAGGTTTTGAAACATGGGCATGTCTAAAAAGGAATTGTGGGTGTGCACTGAATGTAAGCAAAACAAAAACAACTTGGACTAAAAGGAACTGACTTCAAAATTTTAAATATCCTTTGGGCCTCTGACACTTCATGAGCAGGTCAGGCTGAGAAAGCTGCTCAGCACACGAGAAAGGCATAGTCTATAATATTTAAGATACAGCCAAGGTGGATAATGGAGAAGGAAAAAAAAACCTCCTGCATCTGGAGCTGAAGATCATGAAACTGGGGAGCTAAGAATATCCTTCACCTTCACGTAAAGGGCCTTCACAGGGTTTGCCTACTAGTATTTCAGAATTGCTGTGCACCAGGTAACATCAGTGAGTCTCATTTTTCCCATTTCTGAACTTACACTGTAAATTATGGCTTTCCTCTCCCCATTCCACATTATACAGTGGATGGGGCTGGAGGAATAAATAACTTGTTATGTCTTCAGGCTGTGATTCAGGAGCAACACAGATTACAATGGCAAAATCCTGTACTTTAGAGCCTGATACTGGGAATAGATGTGTTTTCCTTGAGCAGAGGAACAAATATCTGATCAGGGTAGAGTGACAGACTGTAGGAATGTTTCCAATTATGTGCCTTTTTTTTTTTTTAAATATTTATTTATTTATTTTAGTTTTCAGTGGACACAACATCTTTGTTTGTATGTGGTGTTGAGGATCGAACCCGGGCCGCACGCATGCCAGGCGAGCGTGCTACCGCTTGAGCCACATCCCCAGCCCCTTATGTGCCTTTTTTTTTTTTTGTACCAGGGATTTAATCCAGGAGCCATATCTCCAGCCTTTTAATTTTTTTTTTTTTTAAATTTTGAGACAGGGTCTCCACAAAGTTTCTGCGGCTGGCTCTGAACTTGTGATCCTCTTGCCTTAGGCTCCCAAGCTATTGGGATTACAAGTATGTACCACTACACCCAGCATAAGTTTATTCATACTTTTTTTTGTGTGGTGCTGGGGGTTGAACTCAGGGCCTCATGCATGGTAAACTTTACCACTGAGCTATTTCCTGAGTCCTCAATTATCTGCTCTTTATAAGAGAATCATTCCTGCCAGGGACTTCTGTCTTTACCCAGTCTTACTGATTGGAAGATTTGGCCTTGTACTTTGGCTAATGCAATGCAATCAGAAGTGATCCATACTGTCTGAATGGAAGTTTTAGCCCCATTGCATGGGTTACCATTTCTACTTTTCCTCTACCACAAGAATGGAATATCTCAGATGGTAATTACTCCATCTGGATCTCGGAATGTGACAGACTCATGGAGCAGAACAGGTATAGCTGATAAACCTGAGCAAATGGTAAGCCCATGAAATTCTGAAGTTCATAACAGTGAATGCTGACCCTCTGAATCTAAAGGTTCTGCATCCATGGATTCAATTTTGGACTGGAAATGTAGAATTCATTGGAAATGATGACTGCATCTTTATTGAACATGTAATAGGCTTTTGTTCTTTTCATTATTTCTGAAACAAGATAGTTCAACTACTTGCTATAATTTGGATCTTAAGTATCCCCCAAAGGTTCATGTGTAAAGGACTGCTCCCCAGGGAAGCACCTAGTGGGAAGTAAGGCGGTGGAACCTTTAGAAGATAGGGCCTAGTGGCAGGTCTTTATGTCATTGAGGCATGCCCCTGAAGCAGACTGGACCTTGGGTACTTTCTTTTTCCCTATCACTATAAGATGAGTGGTTTTGCTCTGCTACATGCTCCTGCTGTGATGTGCTGCCTTGCCACAAGTCTAAAAACAGGATCAATTGATCATGGATGGGATCTTTTGAAACTGTGAATCATTCATTTTTCTTTGAAAGTTGATTATTTCAGGAAATTGTTATAGTAACAAAGCTAATGCACAACTACTTACGTAGGATTTCCATTGTATTAGGTTTATAAGTTATCTAGGGATGATTGAAAGTATATAGGAAGATGTGCATAGGGTACTCCCATAGGTTATATACAAATTTAATATAACTATATCATTTTCATATAAGGGACTTGAGCATCCTTGAATTTAGGTAACTGTAGGAGTTCATGAAAACAATCTCCCATGGATATCTAGGGACTACCATATTACCTTCTGAACTTACCTCAGAAACGCTAAGGTCACAGAGAGACACTGAATTAATACCAGGTAATTCAACTTTTAATTCAATTTTCAGAGGTTTCTCATTCTGATCCTTCACAATTTTTAATTCATAGACTGGTATCTTCATCTCCACCTGTATTTCAGTACTAGAAATCTCTTCTATCAAACGTCCCGCTTTGCCTGAAACTTGGTCTTTGGGCAGTAACAGCTGAGGAAATTGATCTGGATTGCTCACAGTACTGCTTCTTATCTGTCCAAGACTATGTTCTTTATGAAAAAAAAAGGAGGAGAGATAAAAATTACAAAATGCTATCAGGTTTGAGCTGCAAGGTATGTATTGTTAGCTGAGATGGAAGATAAAGCTGCAGTTAAATTAGTTTAGGAATATTAAGCCAAAAGAATCTGGGGATGTAGGTCAGTGATAGAAGCCTTGCCAAGTATGGGAGCTCCTATGTCTGCTCCCTAGTGCATCCAAACAACAAAAAAAAAAATCTGGTTGAACAATTTAGAAGTCTTCATGGATTCTTTAACATTTCTAATATCTAATTTTTATATTTTTCTTTTAAGTTTCTCATCATTGAAGACTTCTAGATTGCAAAACATACACAGGTTGCAAGAAAATTTTAAATCAAAAGTTTAGATTTTGATTTATATTCATCTACTTACCCTTTCTCATTCTCTCTTTTAAATCTGTGCATTCAGCCTGTATTCCCATTAGATTTTGTTTTGTTCTTTGAATGCTTCCTTTTATTCTGAATTTGGTAATATGGTAAGTGTGTGAGAGAGTGAATTGGAGTTGTTCTTCAATGCATTTCATAGTCATCTTTACTAACTGATCTTTTTTCACTTGGTCCTTTTCTGCTGTCTGGAGAATATCAGGATTGTAGGCAACATCGATGACTGTATAAGTATCTGTGTGTAATTCAGAGGGTATAAAGTGAAGATAAATTCTTTCTCTCATGATAGTTTCAGGTTATATATTAAACTATATTCCCAATAAAGTCTGTATTTTTCAGATCCAATCACAATAGCATTATATACACAAAATTCCAATGAAGGCATTGTTTAGCATCTTCATATGGGTTAAAAGTGGCTCATATTATTAGGAAATTTGAACAGTGTTAAATTTGCATGGTAATTCATTTGTCATTAATTATGTTATTTTTTAAATATTTATTTATTTTTTTTAGTTGTACACAACACCTTTATTTTGTTTATTTATTTATATGTGGTGCTGAGGATCGAACCCAGGGCCTTGCACGTGTTAGATGAGCGCTCTACCACTGAGCCACAACCCCAGCCCTGACATTAATTATGTTATGATCAAATAAAATATTTTACTTGAAATACCTTTACCAAGTAAACTCTGATCCATGCTAATTCCCAGTAAAATTTTAAAAATATGTTTTCTCTCCTTTAACCCATTGTACCTGATGTCTCAGAGATGTCTTCTGGTCTGCCAACAATTAAAGGTACTGGATGAGTGAGTGATTTGGGAGCAGGGATCCTTTTCCACTGACAAAGGTTGATAAAAAGCATTTTTTCTTTTGGTTTCTGGAAAGCAAATAATTTTGATGTCTCAAAACCTTAAAAATTTAGTTTTCTTAACTTAGGTTTTGATAATATCCTCAAAGCAACTCACAATAAAGCTGGAAGAGGGGGAATTTTAGGCACTAAGTCATTCCATGTATTAAAACCATGTTTGATAAATTATACTTGATTTTCCCAAAGCTCTTGACTTTTTCAGCATGAATCTAGCTGCTGTTCCCTCCCAAAAAACACTTGACAGCAGAAGGGAGAATTTATCTAAGCGGTTGATCTAGGTGCATTTGACCCCATTTCACCACTTTACATCTTAAATAAGTTCTTTATTTGAAAAAGATTCAACTTTACAATTCTCTATTAAATCACTACATCATCTTTTCCTTCTAGCAGAAAAAGTGACTCATTTTGAGATTTCCAAAACATATCAAGTATGAATTTCCCATTCTTACTCCTTCAACACAATCTTCCACACTATGTTCCATTTTCTATTTAAAAAGGCAGATTTCATCAAGTTTTCTTGTATGAAAATAACAATTGCTAAGGGTAAGGTATTCATTCTTTGGTTATTCCAGGATCATTCATTCATTCAAGACCTCCCCATCCCTAGCACTAACTCTACATACATACCAGCATCCTGGTCTGTACACAGAACTGTGGTTCTGGGCCAGCACATAGCTGTTTTCCCTCGTTCAGCTCTTGTTCAATAAAGTTTTTATAGCCCTCAGGGTCATTTTCAGCCAGATCGTCTAGAAGGGTCCAGAACTGAGTAAGCTGGGTGAGTAGACCTTTTGAGGATGTCTTCATGATTGATAGTAAAATAGGCCTCTAAAGCCTGTGGAAAGATATAACTTAAAGAAAAAACTGTCTGTGTAACTATTGACTTATTTATTTTTATTAGGGGAGGGGGAACTCATCAGGAATTTTTTTGGTGAAGTTAAGGTAAGCTAACCTTAACACCTGTGTCTAAAAGATTGTGGCCCAGCACGACTTTATCATTTCCTTATTCTACATCCCTTCCTAAATTCTTAAGTTGACCTCTCAGATAAGGCCTTACCTCTACCTAGACCTTCACAAACCCTAAGTGAGCATAGCAGTCATCTTCTGTCTGGGTTTTCTGGTGATCTAGGTGATCCCAACACCTGAATATTGGTTGACTGGAGCCTCCCCAGTACTGAAATAGACAAGTTTGTGTGTGGGGTAAGGTCCACATGAGATCTTCTTAATCCTCAGTGTAGTTTAGTGGTTAAGATCAAGGACTCTGAGCCAGTATGCATAGATTCTAATCTTAATTCTATCTCCTGCTAGCTATGTGACCTTGAGTAAGAAATGTAAATATGTCACTATTCTACTCAAAATGAAGATAACTCCTATCTCTGACAATTAATGTCAGGATTAAATAATTAGCTCCTTAAAATACAGAAGCTGGAACACTTGGTAAACATTACATAAGAGTAATAATATTTCTATCTCTTGAGATAACCCTCCTGGTCCCCCTACCCTCTTCCTACTGGAGAGGTGTCTCATAGCGTCCACAGAATGAGGAAAAGAGGAGGCTTAGAGTCTTTGAATACTACATTAGGGTTAGATTAAATAGACAACCAAACCCAACGAACAATCATTCCAAAAGCTTGGGAACCCACCTCTTCTCTCGGTTCCTAGACTAACCGCGACGCCTGTTACCACGGTAACCAGACGGTACAACTTGTAATTAAGCCCGGGAAGCTCCAGCCAGAGAAGGTCTCTTTACATGCAGTTCCGGAATGTCCCCCTTGTGGTGCCGGGCTTGCACTTCAGCTGGACCAGTCCGGTGTTCTCTTCCAAGAAAGCGCCTGCTTCCTTTCCGTAGGCGTCTGCCCCTAGAGTGCCCAGGAAACCCTCCCAGAGGGAGTCTTGGGTCTCCGATAGGAAGGAAAGATTTCTCGCGAGCACGACTTCCGGCCTGGAAGGGAAGCCTCCTCCTTTTTCTCCCAGATCGCTTCCTCCCCCCACCCCCGCCACGCGAGGCTGCGGCGCACGGTATGGGTGTGTTTGTGTGTATTTGTGTGGGGCGGGCGTTTGGAGGGAAAAACACCGGGAGCTCCAAGGCCGCTGGGGGACAGGGACCCCGGTGACAAAGATGGGGGTATTTTCTCTGTTTTCTACTTGGAAACCTCAACCCCCATTTCAAGCACCCTAGACACTTTTGGGGCCCAACGGAAGGTCGTACCCATCCCAAGCGTCTTCATCCTTTCTGGGGAGTGAAACCCTACTCCGGGGGGCTATCCCAGCAGAGTGTGAGCGGGGCATGCTTGGGTCAGCCCGGCGGTCCGGATTCCGTACCGGCGCTCCCTCTGGTCTCAGTCCGGGAGAGAGATCTGGGCTGGGGGAAGGCAGCCGTGGCCTGGGCCACCGGTGAGGGCAGAATAACCGGTGGGAAGGCTACGTTTCACGAAGGACTCGGGTGAAGCTGCAGAGCTGCCTTTGAGCCCTGACTCCTTGGCTTCCTGGGTCGGAGGAGATCTTGTAATGGAGTGGTTCTTCGTCTCACACTAACAAGATGCCTGATTTCCTCAGGATCGAGGGGTGAGTGAGCGTTGGGGTGGTTACACAAAGCCCCTGCTAGCTGCACATGTGCATAGCTTTGTCATCTAGTTTTTGGAAACTTCCATACAGAATAGAAAATAAAAGGCCCCGAATTAAGAAATTAAACCCATCTTTGCATTTGATGTTTTTAGGCATCAGTTTTTGTTACTGTTGACTTTTGTGGTTTCTGACACTCTTAAATCTAGGTATTTGCTTCATCGCAAACTAATTTTGGGATTCGAGATTTGATTTCTAAACTGGACATTGACACACATCGTTTGCCTGGGATTATGAGGCCTGGGGCAAGTTACGACTTTTTAAGGGAACTTCATCTACAAAATAGGAATGGAGATGCAGTCGGCCCTTCGGTATCCTCTGTTCCGCATCTTCGCGTTTTCGGGTTCAACCAACAGCCAATTGAAAATATTGAGAAAAAAATTGCCTCTGTACTGAACCTGTACAGATGTTTTTCTTGTTGTTATTATCTAAAGAATACACTTTAGCAACTATTTACATTGCATTGTATTAGGTATTATAAGTAATCTAGAGATGATTTAAAGTATACAGAAGGATGTACATAGGCTAAATGTAAGTACTACTCCATTTTATATTAGAGACTTGAGCATCTGTGGATTTTGATATCTTCAGGGTCCTGGAACCAATCCCTTGTAGATACTGAGGGACAGCTATTTGCCTTATTAAAGCGTAGAGTTGTGAAGATTAAATAAATCTGAGCCTATGAAAGCACTTAATTTTGTGCAGTCTTACAGAGTTTTAAAGGACTTTAATGTGCATTATTTCTTTATATCCTTATATTAATTGTGATCAGATATTTCTTTCTTTTAATGGTGAAGGAAAAACTATTCCTCAGGACCTTTGACTTCTAGTTCAGTGATCTTTCTTTTACCTCATACTTCTTTATAAAATTTAACAAAAGATGAGACAATGAAAGAGATTATTAAGTGTTATTTATTTATTCCTTTCAGATTGAAGAATGTCTCGGGTTCCATTGGGGAAAGTCCTCCTGAGGAATGTCATCCGGCATACAGATGCTCACAATAAGGTGGGAGGTACATCCCAGTCATTGCTCAACTCTTAGCCCATGTAGTATACTAAGCATTATTCTGGCACAGTTGGGAAGTACCAGTATGAATCAATAGATAATTACAGTACAGTTTGGTAAGTACTATTTAGTAGAGACAGTTACAAAGTGTGTTAGAGCACTGAAGAAGGAATATTGAACTCTGCCTTGGGAAATTAGAAAAGTTCCTGCAGAATGAATGTATTTGAACTGCTGATATTTTAACTGGTTCTTGATGAATTGCTATAATTTTATTTGATATAAAAGATCATTCTGAACAGAGTATCATCTATGGAAACAATAAGGCATGGGCTGCAGCCGTAGCTCAGTAGTAGAGTACTTTCCTAGCATGTGCAAAGCCCTGGGTTCAATGCCCAGTACCACCAAAAAAAAAAAAAAAAGGGCATGAATCACTTGGTGTGCATCTAGAAAATAGGGAATATAGTATTAGATAAGATCTGAATGGCAAATTAGGGTTAGTTTGTGATGTTTAGAAATTACACTTTTACCTCAAAGCAATAAAAAAGCCATCAAATATTTTCAGCAGGGCATGACATGATTATATTTGTATTTTAGAAAGATGATTTATTAACTGGGTAGGGAATAAATCAGATGGGAGAAACAGTAGAGGGATCATTGAGGAAATGAATATAGTGTTCCAGGTGAGAGATAATGAGGGTTTGAATGAAAGCAGTGACTGTGGGGATCAGAAGAGCAATTTAGGAGATACAGTCCAAAAGTCTTGGAGACTGATGGGATGATAGTGATAAGAGTGGAATCAGTGTGTGTGACTAGGTAGATGATAATGATGGTCCCATTAATTAAAACAGGGAACAATAACAATGAAAGATAAATATGATGAGAACTTTATTTAGTTTGGTTTTGACCATTTTATAGTGTGGGGCTTACAATTGAAAGTTTGAATTTGGAAGAAAGGAGAAAAGTTGGGAGTGGACATAAATGAAAATTGATATGTAGATAAATGATAGAGGTCATAAGAGTAGGTAGATAAGGTCACCTAGGAGAGTACATATAATGAAAAGGAGGGGCCAAGACCCCTAGTTTAGTGTTCTTCAGTAAATTGTACCATTGGTTTTATCATAAATAATACCACTATCAGATCACTTGAGTTTTTAATTGTGGGTGAGGTTATAACTGCTACTTATGCTGATGTGCAATTGTGTTAACCTACTTCTAGTTGTATGGGGGACTTAAGATTTGAGAGTGGTAGCTAAAAATGATAAACCTAGCACAGATTTAAAACAATTATGCAGGAGAAATTAGAAATAAAATGTGTTCTTGTTCGTGGGCAGTTGTACTTTGCTTTCTAGGAAATTCTCTAGCAACCATACTGTTTTTGTTTTTGACAAGAATTATAATGTCAAAAGAGTCTTGGCTTAGAAATTTTAGTTTTTTTTTTTTACTTTCTCTGAGCTTTTGTTTTTTCTCAGTAAAACGTAATAATGATACCTGCCTCGTTTTCCTCATAAAGTTGCTTACGAGTCAATTGAGATTATGTAGTTAAAATTATGTTGTATCTTAGAAATTGTTGTTATTTGTTAATTGCAGCACAATTGTAAAATTGGTAGGGTAGTAAGTCTGATTATGCAGGGGTTAAAAAGTTCTGTTGCTGTAGAATTCTACATACTTGAGATTTCATCTATTAAATTGTTCAACCACTTTCTAGAGAAGCCAGAATTTATTTTCTAGGTGCCTGATCATAGTCCAGTCTGTAACCTATAATTAGTGCAGACTGTATTTTCAGATACTTTTCTGCAATGTAAAGTGTTATATTTAGTGACTTATTTTTGTTTCTTTCCTTTTAAAAATAAATCTAGATTCAGGAGGAGTCAGATATGTGGAAAATAAGAGAACTAGAGAAACAGATGGAGGATGCTTACCAGGGGACGAAAAGGAAAATGTTACCCAGCAGTTCAAGGTGAAGTTGCAGCTCTGAGAACCAGAATATTTCTCATCTTCTTAATAATCATCAACTTTTGCTTAAAAATATTTTGATATGTTAAGATAGATAAATTCAGTCATGTGAGTTATATTAAGCCTTCCCTTTTTCACAAATCTACACCCAAACATAAAGATAATGACTATGATCCATATTCCATATGCTAGACACTTTGTATTTATTTGCCCTTTTTTTTTTTTTTTTCCAGTGCTGGGGATTGAATTGAGGGCCGTACACATGCTAGTAGTTATTCTAAAATTTTTTACTCCTACAGCTGAGCTGCATTCCCAGCATTTTTTTTTTTTTTTTTTTTTTTTGAGGCAGGGTCTTGCTAAGTTGCCAAGGCTGGGCTTGGACTGGAAATCCTCCTGCCTCTGTGTCCCGAATTGCTGGAATACCAATCCTTTTCATTTAATTTATTCAAGTTTATTTTGTGGTACTGGGGCTTGAACCATATCAGTGGGCATTCTACCTCTGAACTAAATCCCCAACCCTTTGTATCTTTTATTTGAGAAAGGTCTCACTAAGTTGCCAAGGCTGATCTCAAACTTGTGATCTTTTTGCCTAAGCCTCCTGAATCACTTGGGTTATAGTCATGTGCCACTATGCCCAGCAATACTTATTTGCAATGGAAAACTTAAAAAAAAATTTGGCTGTGGACAATTGTAAATACTTAGGGTCGTAGATTCTGACCTTGTCTAATAGTTTTTAAACTTACAGTTTTCTATTGGAATCTTTTTGTCATTTAATTAATCAATCATTTCATTTCCCTTTAACTTTTCATTCTTTCAGCCTTTTTCTTTGCTCCGTCTACTTACTGTCTTTGCCAGATCAATAGCTTTCCACATTTCCTTTGTAATAATTTTGAGTGTGAATGTGAAGGATTATACAAGCTTAGTTTTCTTTTATCTGTGGAGGTATAGGAATGTCTGAGGAACTTGGAACATCTCTTAGGCTTCACTCATATGCCTGTAAGTGTAGGAGCTATGTTTAAGAGAAATGAATATAAAGTCATAATTCTGATTTCTAAAGCTTTTTTGGGGGGTGGTGGTGGAAATTAACAGTTAATAATGAGATATTTAAGGAGAGTATGTATGCCTATGGAGTATGTGGACTTCAGTGTATGATTACCTATGTGTGAATAGCTTCAAGTAAGAAGTATTTAGGATGTACATGGGAAAAAGACAGTCACAATATAAATAAATATCTGCCAGGGTTTTTTTTTTTTTTTCCTTTCTGAAGGTGGTCCTTTGAGAATTCAGAAGTAGAGTTAGTACAGGTAATGATTATTTTGTACTGGTTAATT